GCAGAGAGAGCAGAACGTTAGAGATTGAACTAACAGATTCTGCAGAGTGGGAGAATAGAGATAGAATGATGAAAAAGGGGTCCCTATGTCCTCCAGCAGTCTAAGCCTATAGCAGCAGAACTATAGAGATCATGTTTGAAGGGTGGCCCCGCAGACGCTGCAACATTTGTTTTTTTCTCTATTTTTTTATGGTTATTTCTGGTATTTAACTTGGTGAATAAAGCTAAATAATAATGAATTTATGATGTTAACCTAAACATATCTGTTAACTGTTGGTGTATAGATCTGTAGAAACATCAAATGGTGTGCTAAAGTGGAAGGCTACTGCTCTCCTGCCTCCTTTATTCTTCATCTTTTCAGCTAAACTTGCATACAGTTTTCATGAACTTTATGTTTTTATAGGCTTGTGTTTTAAGTGTTCTGCTCTTAGAGAGCTGAATTCCACCTCAATCAGGCTAGAAGAAGCAGGAACGTTGACTTTTCTTTTGTAGTGTATTTCTGAAATGAAAATTTCTCACTGGTTGTAGAAAATTGAGATTCATTGGATGATGTTCACTTATGTCCTGATTTGATTATTTAGGGCAGCTTGCCTCATTGTCATGTTTGAGTGGGAGGGGATCTTCTAAAACCATGGGAAAACGAAAGTTACTGCTGTAACTACAGCTCTATGAATCCCGGATGACAGTATGGATGAAAAAGAAATATTCTTCAGATCTTTCAACCCTTATTTGAAGCTTTTGGTTGTAGTCTAACTTAAGCCCAGAGGGTCTTACATATGAGAAGTAAAGTAAAAGCAGCTCCCAAGCTGTACATTTGAAAAACAATTGTTTTATTTGTGTGACAGAAAGGCACTGAGGAATAGTGTTCAAGTGGAACCCCTATTTTAAATGTCACCATGTCTGATTTATAGGCTGAATAAGTTGAAGCAGGGTTGTTCCACAAAGGTTTTAGTGGGCGGAGTGTTCGGAGGAAATGGGATTTTAACGTAATGCCAAAAGTGCAAAATTAAATCTATTTTTCCGCTCATAAAAGTGAATCTGATCAGACAAATATGCTGATTTCCATTATTGGAGACCTTCTGCATGAAGCAAAGCCTTTGTTCCTAAGATTTAGCCGTTAGTTCATTGAAATTTACCAATAAAATCACCAAACTGGATAGACACGTCAGGTGGAATTTTTAAATATAATTTTATTTGTTTGCACGGCTATGAAACAAAAAGTACCGCTGAAAAATAATTTTGAAACATTTTAAAGCCCCATTTGAAAGGTGTGCTGATGAAACACCATGTGACTGTTTTGGCCATTTCTAGAACTGGATCAACATGAGCAGGTTTCAGATGGGCCCGGTATTGGGCCCGGTATTGGGCCCGGTGGGCTCAAGGGGTTATGTCCAAATTCTGATCCTTGCTCAGTCATTGTGTTTTAATGCCACGGTTTTGGACTGAGGCCCACAATCATTGCCTTTCTCATGTACAGGAGGCGCACCGGTTCAAGGAGAGAACCGGCTTAGTTCCATAGCAGATGGTTCATTATCCCCGCCTCACTCTGCCCCCTACACGTCCAAACACCTCGGCGTGAATCGTATTGGACGCTTCCTCAATGTTTCTGTGAAATCCAGCAGGGAGCGAGAAACTGCTGAGCTGAGGATGGATCAGCAGGGTTGGTGTGGTGTGTGTGTCTTTGTGTGTTGCTGACATATGTGGGGGAGGCTGTGTGCTTTAAGAAACCCAAAGGAAAGAAGAGCCTCAATTCCCGACAGCTTGGTGAGAAATGCACTCCTATTGGCGAGGGATGCATGCACCACAGCTTC